ATGTTTTCTTATGATTAGGAAGCCCCCAAATGAGGGACATTCCACAAAATGATCCATACTCCTTAAAATTGGTAAATTGCTGTTTTCATCACTTCATACCTATCAAGGATACATGCTTACCACTGTGACCTCTCACTATTGATATTGATCTTGGTCACCTGAGCCGAGGTAGTGTTTGTCAGATTTTCCAACTTCAAAATCACTCTTTCCACATACACACGCATGCACACACACAAACACACACACTTACACCTCTCCATACTGTCCTACTCTGTGGAAGGAATTCACTGTGCACAGCCCACCCTTCTGGAGTGGCCAGTTATGATCTGCCTCCTCCAGGGCAAAGTGTTTTCATGAACTATTTAGAATTCTTCTTCATAGGAGATTTGTGTATTCTTCCCCCTTTTAACTTTATTTAGTCATTTATTTATATTTGTATGAACTTGTGAGAATTTCTTTTGTATAGTCCAACACGATGTTATTTATTTTGTTGCCCCAGTTGTTTTAGTTCTGGCCATGGGCAACTCTTTAAAGAATATTAAGAATGTTGTCTCCTGTGTTCCTTTTTATATGCCCCCATCACTGTGGAATATTTATGTATCTATTTAGCAATTTCTTACTTTTTGGCACTACAAGACCCTCCATGCTCATTTTGTATATTCCTTGTACCTGGTCCTAGAATCAGTCATTTCCTCTAAGGAGCCTGGGTTCTTTTCATTGGAGAACAGTATTAGAAACTAAGATCTGGGTGCTGAGGTTTGCAGAAATGTTATGGTCGACACCTATTCATTCCTACCCTTCCTTTTGTGGAAGTTTGATGAGTGCAGTGGTAAGTGCCCTGTGGAATCTTTTTTTAGAGTAAAGACACACTTTTATTCACGTTTAAAAAAAAGAAAGAAAAGGTATGTTTGTCTAGACAATGGGATCATGTGGGAAAGCTTTCTCCTTATTTCTTTTTATTACCATGATTTTACCATAAATACGCATTTTTCTTTTTAAATTTTTTATTAAAGATATGGGGTACAATTCAGGGTTAGGCATTTAAAAATGTTCACAATGCAGGTACCCTTGTTGATGAGGAGTACCTGCAGGTCATCCTCAGCTGCTCACTAATCCTGTCTTGCTGCAGTGGACTGGGCAAAAGTCAGCCCAGCCAGTCAACTCAACAGATTTCATTCAGCTCGATCAGTTCAGACTCAGTGCTGTGGCACGTGTGTATGCCCTGCTCTCATGGAGCACTGCCGTCTACAAGCAAATGAGAGGACAGTAAGATAGAAATGCTGTCGAAATTCAGATTACACAAAGGACAGCGTGACCTGCCTAAGAGCATTCAAAGAAGGCTGCTTATAAGAGTAGACTTAGGTCCCTTCCAGATGAGCAGACTGGAAGGGAAGACATACAAATGTGAACAGATATCTTGTAGATATATGTAGATAAGAAGAGGCTGAAAATAATGAAGGACTTGGCTTCTTGGGTTTATTTCAGATTTGAAACAAGGCTTACTGATCTTGCTGGGAGGAGGAAAATGGGCTTCAGCCAATGGTGTGGAGAGCCAACTTGTACTGGCTCTCATGAGCCTGTTGTTAAATTTTCAAGAATCTGGGGAGCAGGCTGGTATTGTGTTGCTAGTTTGAAACTGACCATAGTGGGAGTGTTTACACTACAACAATCTGCAACTGCTATAAATCAGGGGTCTTCTCTCCACTTCTGCTATTATTAAACATTTCCCTGCATAACTGACTTTAATGGTCTAAAATTCTGGCATATACCCTTACCCTGAATTTATTTTTTCCTCTAGAAATATTTTTCATATAGACATTTTTCTTTAGGGCTTTGAATTCTTCGATAAAAACTGCCAAAAATTATAATAGAGATGTACGCCCCTGAATAAAGACTGCATCTTACTGCATATTGGTTAAAACTCTAATAGCCAGAAAATTTTTAGTTAACTGGGTTATTTGAGACCCTCTAATGTCCATTCTGAACAACTAAGCTGGAAATGGATGGTTCAACATTACCAGATGATCACACAGCCTTCTGCCTTGGTTTGGCAGCATGGGAAAACCTGTTATTACTTGAGAGTTACCATCGGTGTCATATATGTGGCCTTAGGACTTGGTGGTTGGACTGGCTTGGAGATATCTTCCTATTCTTACCAATAGTATGGGAAGAAATGGTATCATTTTCCTTCAACTGAGAAACCATGGCTCAGCATCTTTCTGCCTATAGTAGGTAATGCAACTCTATATCAGTTTGACTTTTGCAAGGGTGACACCTGAGTAATACTGCTATGCAAATAAGGACAATTTCCATGAGGTCACCTCTTGTGCATGGTATATGGTGTTAAGTGTTACACAGATTTAGACTCAAAGGAGCTTACATTTCAAGCGAGTCAACTAAAATCAGTTACATGCGTGACCAAGGAAAGCAGGGTTAGGGAAAGAAAGATTTATCCTACCCTTACCTGGAGATTGTGAGTTTTCACTGTAATCCTAAAAGATGGCTTCATTGTGCCTTCATTACAGAGATTTCTTTTTACCTTTCTCTTTTCTTTTCTATGTCCCTCCATCAGGTATGGTAAATTTTCCTAACTTTTATACCTACCTATCATTGGCTTGACTCCACTGTCAAATTGAATCTCTGAGGTTGTAAGACTCAGAAAAGAATATCGCAGACATTTTGGTCATGTTACAAGTCTTATGCGCAGAGTTTGCTCTGAATCACAGGAACCCTCATTTTCTTCTTTAGTCCAAATGATTCCTAGATGTGGAAATTCTCAAACTAGAGCTGATTTCCTGGAACACTCAAACCAGGTCACAATTCCTCAGCTGCCTCTCATAAAGCAACCCTCTCAGGATTGACTGACTTGAAACTTCTTAGGATAGCTTGATCCAAACAGATCACCTGAGACACTTCCTTATAGGTCAGGTGATCACAGAGGTCTTGTTCTTCTTTTCGTTGGAGTGAAGTTTATCCTTTTTACTATTTTAAGTGTATAGTGTCTTAAATGGCATTAAGTATATTCACATTATTCTACAAACATCACCACCATTCATCTCCAGAACTTTGTCATCTTCCTGAACTGAAACTCTATATCCATGTTATAGCGTGTGTCAGAATCTCCTTCCTTTGTACACATGCATCACATTTTGTTTATCTTTTTATGGGCACTTGGGTTCCTTCTACCTTTTGATTATTGTGAAAAATGCTCCTATGAACGTGGCTCTACAAATATCTGTTCAAGATTCTACTTTCAATTATTTGGGGTGTATGCCCAAAGTGGAATTTATGAATCATGTGATAATTTTTTGAGGAACCATCATGATATTTTTCACAGCAGCCACTCCACCTTACATGACTATTGGCAGTGTATACAAGGTCCCAGTTTCTCCACATCTTTGACAATATTTTACATTTTATTGTTTTGTTTCGTTTGTTTTGTTTTATTTAAATGAATGCTATCTTAGCAGGCGCAAAATGACATCTCATTGTGGTTTTGATTTGCATTTTCCCAATGACTACTGATGTGAGTATCTTTTCATGAGTTTAATGGCCATTTGTATAACTTCTTTGAAGAAATGTCAGTTCAAGTCCTTTGCCTGGTTTTTAATTGAGTTGTTAGGTTTTTGTTGTTGCACAGGGGTTTTCTTGCTTGCCTAGGTAGTGCACTACCTCAAGAGGCTATTGAGCATTTATCTGGAGTTCTGCCCTTTGCTCATGTGTAATGCAGAGATGGATGCACAATGATTGCCACTGTGGAAAACCCCACCTGGCATTCTAAGATCTGCCCTTGTCTGCTTATTGTGGAGGAAGTTCAATGATAGATGCTACAGCATTATGCCATTAACTGCATTTGGATACTGTTTGGTAATGTCATCTAACTTTCTACTAAGAAAAATACAATCTTTTTTGTGAAAAGGAGGAAAGTGAGATTCTGTCTTATAATTTCCCAGCATAATGATACTCTAGACCAGAGGCTGACAGACTATGGGGCCAATTCTCATCCCAGCCTGTTTCTGTAAATAAAGTTTTATTGGAACACTGGTTTTCCCGTTTGTATAAGTATTGTCCACAGCTGCTTTTGTGCTAAATGACAGATTGATTCAACAGAAATGTCTAGACCACAAAGCTTAAAACATTTGTTATCTGGTTCTTTACAGAAAAAGTTTGCCAATCCCCAGCTGTTCTAAACATTTAAGAAATACATTTTTAAAACCATATACAGGGATGCCAAAAAAAATTGCATACACATTTTTGAGAGATGTTATCTATGTATTACTTTTCTTTTTTAAAAGAGTTTAACATTTTAATTTCAGAATATCTTTATGTATACATCAGTATTTTCAGGCTATGAAATGCAAAAATAACATTTACTTAAATACAATTAACACCTAAAGTTTAGGTAGTTTTAACAATTTGTGATAAACAGCATACTTGTAACAGAATTTACACAGTTAGAAAACATTTCTTGAACTAGAATACTCTGGAAAGAAATTTTCCAAGTATTCTCCATTATTAAATACATATTTACAAATAATAATAATGTATTCACAATCATTTGACCACTGTTTTATATTTCTATAGCCCCAATAAATATAAAACCCAAGAAATGGCAAAATAGCTATAAAAATAAGTGCACATCTACAAACTAATAGCAAAAAAGGGTGTTATAAATTAAAAGACACTAGAAAATACAAACACAGCTGATCTTGCAAACTCAGTAGTGGTTCTTCACACAAATGATGAAAATATGGAAAAGGCCCACAAAATTGTGCTATTGCAGAATGTCTTTTAATAGCTTTCCATTATCAACTGTTCTATTTTGTTGATGAATAACTGTTAGTATGATTCAGCGCAATTGTATATACTCAACTCAGTAAATAATGAATAGTGGCTGTAATTTACAAAATAATAAAATAAACTGAATAAAGTTCCATGGGTAACTGTGGTCAGTGTTTGATACATGTCATCAGGTAGTAAGATAACTTTTGTTGACTTCTTCAACAGCATATGGAGCAATATGTTGGGATTTTAGATTTGATGATGAAAAGACTTCCACTTCCACCATGCTGCTGAAGCTTTTGTAATGCACTGGTGATTGGCTCTTTAAATTTCTTGTCCATTAGTCTCTTGGAAAGACTTGTAAGCAGATGTTTCAGATGGTCGTTTAGATAAGGACCAACAACAACACTTAACTGAACCAAGGCTTTCAATCCTCTTTCAAATACTGCATCATCTGAATGCACCAGAGTTGCCTTTAGCACAGGAATCAGTCTAGGGAGCAAAGGAACAGCCTTTTCAGGAGCACCATAAACCAAAAGCAATTCTCTGAAACCCTCTTTTGACACAAAGGTGTGTGGATGTTTAGTCTCTCTCAGACCCTTAGCTAAAGTAACAAGAAGAGGATCAAATGAAAGATTTTCAGGAGGACAGTCCCACTGTAATCTGTGTTTTACTGAACCATGTATCAATCAGCAAGGAATACCTCCTTTGGAGTAAATAGCTGCAAATGCAGAAGGGACTGCTGAGTGTTCATCAAATGGGTTAATTGTTTATGGGGTTAAGTTTATCACTTGGTCGAGGATGAAGTTTTCTTGCAGACTCTGGAGAACTGGCTGACGATGAGGATTTGCTTCGCTGAACTGAAGTCCTATGCTTTATCTGTGTGCATGAGGATGTCCTTCGATCATAGTTACCTGTGGCTCTGTTTCTCAACTGTGTAGCTCCAGAGCACTCTGTTTTCTGCATTGCTTCCCTTTCGCTCCCCGCCTCTCTCCCACCCCAGTGGGGCTTTTAGTCCCTGCTCCCCTGTGTATTACTTTTCGAAGTTGAATTAAATTATGATAGCAATGTGCAGTATGAAGTTTGCACAACCATGCTTCTGCCATTTTCTTTGACTATCCTGCCTGATACATGGTGGTGCTAGCATTCATTTGATTAATGCCATCTTGTGAGCAAATGTTATACTTAAATTGTGTATACATTTTTTGGCACCCCCGTATATATAATATAGTGATACTGACTGATGACTCTTCCCTCTGTACTTGAGCACTTTGAAAACTATCAAGCTCATATAGATGTTATTGCTTCTAAGTAGTTACTGACTAATGTAAATGTTTAGTATATTGCTGCTGTTAAGTATTTACTAAATTCCCACTTTGTGTCCAGAGAAGTGTGCTTTAAGCCTTTGTTATCTGATTGGGGCAATGGCTTTTGTGTCCTTGCATTACTGGTGTTGAAGCTAGATGTGTCTAAAACATTTCTAACACAGGTAGCAAGTTTTAAAAGTCACAGAATCTAATTCTTGTCTTTCCCTCGTAATAGTTCATGTTAATACTAAACTTTGGTGATGTATCCTTGATCTTCAGCTGCAGTGAGAGGAGTTATGGAAGAGGGACATGTTCTAAAGTGTGGAGCACAGACGACTTGCTGCCTTTCACCCTAAAAATAGCATGTTGCCTCTCCTCTTCCTGCCTTGGAGTCAGAGGTGCAGCTTTGCTAAGGTAGTGATTGCCAGTTTGGGAATATCGAGATACTGTTGGTTCACTGATTTTGTTACATCTTCTGTTCAACCTCTTGATCGTATTTACATTAAACTTATGCTAGCTGCTAGAATAATTGCTAAGATACATGGACATGCCTTTGAAGAGGTTATATGGTATGTTTTGGCCGTTGAAGAGTACTAATGTTTACTTTTTAAAATTATGTATAGTACCCCTTGAGATAACTGGAAGTTATCCACCCATGCATACCCACCCACAATCACAGACACCCAGGAAATCATAAAGCTAGATTGACATCTACCTGTAGATTCTTTTTTAATGGTAGGATAGTCATTTTGTACAACCCAAATAGGATTTCAACAGTGACTGAATCTGGTAAGAGGTCTCCTTTTGCTGCAGATGTATTTATCCAAAGACAAAATGAAATCTTTATCCCCTTTTCATAGACTCTGCCTTAATTGAATTTGTTAATGAAGTGATGAGCATCAGATGTAACAATGCTGGTTCATTGAAAACTCTGATCACTTTTCCTTTACTCTTTGAGAAGGATCGTTGACCTCTTTTTTTTTCCTGCAGTACAGTAATCAGTATTTCTCTTCTAGATCTGATTCCAGTGATTTTAATCGCTTTCCTTGAAAACCACTTTCCCCAAATGCTATCCCCTTCTTACGTTTTAAGTTTTAATGTTGAAAATAGAGCTCTGGTAAGAGTCCCTTTGAAATGATTTTCTTTAGTCAATATGAGAGCGATATTTCCTTATTTTTATATTCATATGTTTTTGTTCCCTAAGAACAGATCTCTACTAAATTTCATGGTGTATATTTGCAATCATCTTTTCAATTTTAGACAAGTTTGGGAATTCAGATACTGCTTTCTGAATTGCTAGTGACTCCTCCAATTTGGGCCCATTCATGGACTCATTCAGCATGTCTTTTTATTTATGATCTCAGGAGAACTCATTCATTTCTACATATTTTGAATGTCTCCTATATAGAGACAAATGATGTAAAATCGATGCTATCAGAGCTGGGTCACAATTTTGTGGAGGAGATAAGTACAGAAATTTACCATGGAATATGAAAAGTGCTCTTTGCAGAGGTATGTACATGATGCAATAGTAAGTTTAGAGAATTTGTAAACTTACTTAAGTCTTAACTCAATTTAAATGGAGTTAGACTGTGGATAAATTTATGAGATGAGAAACACATAAATAATATTTATCTATTTTGAGATAATAAATGAAAGAGTTGATCAAAATGAAATGCACCTATTATAACCAATGGCCCCCAGCAAGGCCAGTGCTGTTGGGCTATTATTATTCCTGCACATTCTTTGTGTTTGGGTTATTAACATTGCGCTTAGGTCAGATGAGAGTGTGTTCAATCTGCCACGCTTTGATAACTAAAGTAAAATGCTGATGGAGATCATTTAAGACTGTCTCTATGCTGTTGATTGCATGCTTGTGGCTCATAATCAGAATGATGCAAAGTAATTGTTAGACTGACTTGCCAAGGCTACATTTTGTGTCGTTGCCACTGTCAGCACTTTGGGCCTGCTGTTCTGCCTGAAGAACGCTTGCCTGGCACCTGTTGGGTACTAACACACAGCTCTCTGCTGAACGTCACGAATGACTTTTGTTCTAGCAGCCTCACTTGCTACCCCCATAAAATAACCTGGAAAAGAAATATCTGCTTATGTAGTGAAAGCAAGTGCTTATTTTTCGTGTTGGACAGAATGCTTATGCCTTGAGACTTTAATATAAAAGCCCACATGTGTGTAGCAAGGGAGCTCATCTCTCCTCCTTGGCTGTGAAACCCTGATGAACATAGCTTTGCCACTTACTGGTTGTGTGACCTTAGGTAGGTTACTTTTCTTGAGTCTTGTTTTCTTCATCTGTACAATGAAGCTCATCGAGTCTATTTTTTAACAGAGCTTTTTGTCAGGATTAGAGATAATAAATAAAAATTTGTCAGCACAAATTAGCCATTCAGTATATGGTAATAGCTAATATTAAGGTATCTGATGCTTACTCAGGATGACACAATACAGTGGCAAGACAAAATTTTCAAATCAGTAATCCAAAAATATATTAAAACTGCGGAATATGTAGTATCAGCATGGTTTTCTTTGTCAGGTCATATTTACCAGAGACACACAATTGGATCAGGACATTCGATTATAGATCATACGTTTTCATAGCCAGGTCTGGATACAGGATGTGTTATGGGCCTTTATAGGATATGAAGGTCCCTTTGGAAGCAAATTTAAGAATGTATATAATTTAGTCTTGACAGCATGAGACATTATATAGCCCAACACAGCCTGACCATCTGATGCTTACTCAGGGAAAAAGCAGTGACCACAAGAGAGTTGGGCAAAGCAAAAACAGTCCCTACAAGAAGTTCACTGGTAGAACTAGAGACATCTCACCAGCTCCTGAATTGTACCATCAAAAGAGATTTGTTTAAAGTAGCTCAGTTTATAGTCCATGATATAGTAGGTGCCTGGTGTGAATTGTTGAAAAGATGTTCTTTTTCTGATTCTGTCCATTGCTAAAATTTAAGGTCTGTGTTCTTCTCTCCTATTGGTGACTCTATTTTTTTCGAGTGGTCAAAATGGAACAAAGTTTCTTCTAAGAGCAGGAAACACACCATGAACTGTCACTCCCCCTAAAAATTACATACGCTCGACCAGGGATGAAACATTTAGGGAACATTTGTTGTAAGGTAGCATGCAAAGGGGCTATCACCTGCCATTGGTTATGGAATCTGGTTTCACAGATCAGACTGTAAGTTTCTCTGCTTTGTTTCTCCACTTTTGGTCTTGCCAGGATTTTCCAGCCGGTATCTGAGTTGGCATTTCTCTGCTACTGCAGTATGTTCTCTTTCTCTCTCTGCTCTTCCCTGCCAGCCCCCACATCCTGCCTGCTTCAAGGAGCAGTGTTGGGTACTTAGAAAAGGTTAGCTGCATTCATAGCTGAAGGATAAATTATCTCTTCACTCACCGTGCCTATTGCAGGGATACACACACTCACTCCCCTCGCCTAGAAAGTGGGATTTTCTTGAAATGTTGTCAGTCACTGTTGGAGACATAGTACAGTTTTCTTAAAAGCAAGGATGTGTCATGTGATGCCAAAAAGCCATATCACATATGTTTTACCAAACCAACCATTCTCTTTGAGAAAGAAGTTAGATTAGAAATGTTGACACTGAACAAACATTTCAGCTTTGATACTTCTAAATATGGTAAGTAGGTTTTCAGCTTCAAATAATACGATTTAATTTCTTGGGTCACTCAAGAGTCTAGAGTTTTCAGTTAGCCTTTCTATGTATTATTAAATAATTTCATTATGATTGAACTGAAAACAGGCACACTTATTTGACTTCAGACTTATGATTTTATACTTGAAATAGGCATTTTTACCCACCATTATTCCTACTCTTTAAAATTTTGTCCATTTTCAATATATTGGATACACACTGAATAGTGTAATTTGTAATTTTATTCCCTGTGGTATATGTGTTAGTTTGTATTCTTCTAAGCGACACCCACTCAAACCAAAACAATTTTTTGCTGTTAAGACTTTTTATATTTATCCAATCTGCCTTTCTCAATCTTGACAAAAATGTAGAAGAAAAAGAACCACATGCTACCACAATTTATAGTCATTTCTCATAAATGTGGGACACTTTGGTAGATTCTGTAAATTCAACAAATAAATATTTATTGGCTCATTCTTTCAATGCCAATACTCTCAAAAGTTATGATGTAGATGGATTTATTGATATTATAGCAATTTTCAATATAACAAGTAAAAAAATTATCAGAAACAAAATACTGTGAATACTATCATAGTATGTTATAAACAAATTGTAGGTGTATATAGATTTATTTATATAAGTATGGATATTATATACTCTGTATTCTTGGGCATAGGAGAAAGTCTAGAGTCATATAAACCAGAATGTTAATAGTGATTATTAGAAGGACTTTTGATGATTCGTAATGTTTGGGTTTTTTCTACCATCTACATTATCCAATCATTATGCAGTAAGCAATTTTCTTTTGTTCTCATTGGCCTCATCTAATTTTGGGTGATGGGGGAAAAAGGAATATGGTACAGGTAGTTACATTCTGATAGAATATAGTTATAAAAATCTTTCTTGTCTCTTCTCTATTGGTAGTTTTGTAAACATGTGCCAAATGGTGATCATGCTTTTCCTTTTTATTAAGTCTCTTCTGCAT